CCAGGAGAGATAATTTAAAAATTATTGGACTGTCTGAAAGCCATGATCAAAAAAGGAGCCTAGACATCATCTTTAAAGAAATTATCAAGGAAAACTGCCCTGATATTCTAGAACCAGAGGCTAAAATAGAAATTGAAAGAATCCACCAATCACCTCCTGAAGGGGAGCCCCAAAGGAAAACTTCTAGGAATATTGTAGTCAAATTCTAGAGTTCCCAGGTCAAGGAGAAAATATTGCAAGCAGCCAGAAAGAAACAGTTCAAGTATGGTGGAAACACAATCAGGATAACACAGTATTTAGCAGCTTCTACATTAAGGAACTGGAGGGCTTGGAATATAACATTCTGGAGGTCAAAGGAAATAGGATTACAACCAAGAATCACCTACCCAACAAAACTGAGTATAAATAATCCTTCAACCAAAAAAAAAGCAAAATAAATAATCCTTTGGGGGGAAAAATGGATATTCAGTGAATCAGAGGACTTTCAAGCATTCTTGATGAAAAGACCAGAGTTGAAAATTTGACTTTAAAATATAAGACACGAGAATCATGAAAAGGTAAACAGGAAATAGAAATCATAAGGGACTTATTAAAGTTGAACTGTTTACATTCCTACATGGAAAGATGATATTTGGAACTCATGAGACCTTTGTCAATATCAAGGTAGTTGGAAAAAATTAGAGGGCACAGGGTGAGTTGAAGATGATGGGGTGATAGATGAAGAATAAAGTTAAGGGGTGAGAGAGGATTATTCTGTGAGAAGGACAAAGGGAGAGATAGAATGGGGTAAATTATCTAACTAAAACAGACAAGAAAAGGCTTTTACAGTATAGGGGAGACTGTAAGTTACAGATGAGTTGTTGATTTGTACCTACAGAGGGAATTTCCAGACCAAGAGTTCCCTTCACTGATGAAATCATAGGTGCAGATTTTTTAAAAATGTGCCACACATTATAGATACAAGCACAAAACCCAAATCATCCCTAGCCTTAAGGAGCTCCTATTTTACTTTAGGAGCTCAATGGATAGCTGTTTCCAGAGGAACTGGGAGGGAATAGGATCAAAGGCCAAACAAAGGAGTTGACATTAGTGTGGATAGCAGTGTGACATGGTGAGCAGAATGCTGGACTTAAAGTCAGGAAGAAATGGATTCGAGTCCTTTCTCAACTGCTTTCTAGCTGTCTGATGACAGGCAACTCACTTCTTTTCTCTAGGCCTCATTTCCTCATCTATAAAATGAAGACAATGGTTAGCACCTACCTCATAGGGTTAAGTATGAAATGAAAAAAATGGGAAGTACTTTCCACTCCTTTAAAGCACTATATATATGCTGTTATTAGAGACTAGAGCTAATAGTCTTGTTTGGTTGGTTGGGGGTTTTATGTGTTTGTTTTTCAGTCAAGCAAGAGTCCCCTGCAGAGAAAAAAGGGTGAGGCAAGTTGTTATTGTTATTTAGTCACGTCCCACTCTCTGTATCAGCACGCCAGGCCCTTCTAGCCTCTATTCTCTTGAAGTCTGTTCAAGTTCATGTTCATTGTTTCTATGACACTATCTATCCATTTCATCTTCTGCCATCTCCCTTTCCATTTGCCTTCAATCTTTCCCGACATCAAGGTCTTTTCCAGTCTTCTCATTATATGCCAAAGTATTTAAGCTTCAACATTTGACCTTCCAGTGAATAGCCTGAATTATTTCTTTAAGTATTAAGTGATTTGATCTCCTTGCTGTACAAGGGATGTTGCTGCTCGGAGTAGGATAAGAGGCTTGAAGAAAGATGAGGTTTTCACTAGCTACAGATGAGATGGCTATAGGGACAAGAAAGAATAAAAGGATTGCAAAAAATAAAAAGATGAAATGATAAAGACCTACTTTAGACAACATTAATTTGGACCCAGCTGGTAGCAGATGATGGGATGACCCCGGGGTTGAAGATATTAGCAGGCCTGAATACACCTAGGTCAAGGGGGCAAAGGATTCTAGGGGAGAGGACAAGATAGAACTAAACTGGTCAACTACCATTAAGATTGTGAAGGGAATAGAGCATGGGCTCTGGAGTCAGGAGGACCCGAGTTCAGATCCAGACTCAGACACATGATTCTCACTAGCTGTGTAACTCTGGGTAAGTCACTTAACCGCCCCCCCCCCAAAAAAAATGTGAAGGGAGGAAAGTAAGGTCAGAGTAGAACAGACTTAAGGAGGGACTTGCAGGTCAAAGTGAATATAAAGAATGCATTCAAGAAGAGTTCAAGAGAGGGAGAGATAGGTCAGATTATTATCAAAGGGTGGTAATAGTAGAGTTCAGAATCACAAAGGTGACACAGATATGTGTGAGGGTAAGATCTAAGACATGATCTCTGTGGCTGAGATGGAATGAAGCTGTATGTAGGTCATGATTTGTGGCTAAAAAACTTCCTTTCTATTAAGGGAGGATAAACTTTTAAGAGTGGAAAGTAGTATGCTTCATCAGTCACAATTAGGTTTTACTTAACTTCTTATGACAAAATACCATAGGAGAATAATTTACTGGGAAGTGATTAATTTGCCAAAATGTATCATTGTATCAATAAGGAAATTTTAAAAAATATATCATGTTTGCTAATATAACAGAAAAGGAAAATGACAGATGTTGGAGGGGGTATGGGAAAGTTGGGTACTAAAGCACTGCTGGCGAAATTGTGAACTTTAACCATTCTAGAGAATAATTTGGAACTGTGCCCAAATGGCTATAAACCATGCATACCCTTTGACCCAGCAATATCACTACTAGGTCTGTATCTCAAAGAGATGATGAAAAAGGGAAAAGAACCCACGTGTACAAAAAATATTTATAGCAGTTCTTTTTGTGGTGGCAAAGAATTTGAAATTGAGGGGATGTCCATCAATTGGGGAATAGACGAAAAACATAATATATGGATGTAATGAAATACTATTGTGCTATAAGAAATAATGAGCATGATGCTTCCAGAAAAACCTGGAAAAAATTAATTAATTTTAAGAAAAGAAAAAAGAAAAACCTGGGAAGACTTACATGAACTAATATAAAGTGAAGTGAGAAGTAGGAGAACACTGAACATGGTAACAGCGATATTGTATGATGATCAACTGTGAATGGTTTAGCTATTCTCAGCAATACAATGATGCAATTTCAAAGGACTTTTGATGAAAAATGTTATCTACTTCCAGAGAAAGAACTGATGGAGTGTGAATGCAGATTGAAGCATACTTTTTTTAACTTTATTTTTCTTGGGGTTGTTTTTTTTGGGGGGTTTATGTTTTCTTTCACAACATGACTAATATGGAAATATGTTTTACATGACTACACATATATCCAATGTGGAGAATGTACTGTCCAAAGCTTTGGGGGTTTTGTGCAGCTGTTTTCAGAGATACTTCTAAGGACCTGTAAATTTTCAGTTCTTCAAAGGTGCTGTGATCAAGGGCAAGGTTGTTTATTCCTTTCCTGGCCTATTCTCTGGTCTATGAGTGACCACAAGCACTCTTTTCTGTCTTGGAACTGTGCAGAAGATTTCCTCTTTACAGCCACTACATGCTTCACCATGCCAGTGCTCCTCCTCACCCCAGGACCGCTGCCCAGAACTGTGACCCAGATCCAAGCAAGGGCAAAGCAAGAGAATCCTGCACCAGCAGAGAGATCCCTGCAATGCCCTTCTGATCAGCCACTCGACTCCCCCTCAGTCTGTGGCCCAGAACCTCAGGAGGCAGCCACCACCCCGGCGCCAAGCTCAGGGACTAGAGCTAAGACCACCTTGCTTCTCTCTCTCACTGTAGAAACAGACTTTTCTCACTGACCTTCAAAATTGTCTTTGGTGTTCCTAGGTTGAGAGGTCTGGAATCCGCCACAGCTGCCGGCAATTCAGTCCTCTGAGGCCTGCTCCAGGTTTGCTATAGCCTGTGCGCCCACACCAAACCATGTTCCTCGCCTGGCGTGATATACCTTTCAGATCAACCATCCAGGGTGTCTTGGGCTGGAAATTTGTTTCACTCCCTGTTTTGGTGGGTTCTGCTGCTTTAGAATTTGTTTAGAGCCATTTTTTTACAGGTATTTGGAGGGGTTTGGGAGACAGCTCAAGCAAGTCACTGCTTTCACTCCGCCATCTTGGCTCTGCCCCTCCCATGACTACACATATATCAAATATCAAATTGCTTCGCTTCTCAATGAGAGGGGAGGAAAGAGAAGACGAGAAAGAATTTAGAACTTAAAAATTTTTTTTAAATTAATATTAAAATTATTTTATATGCAATTGGAAAAATTATATATGAATATTGTGTATGAATATATATACATAAACACATGTACACATACATATACACATGTATATGTATGTGTATGTGTGTATATATGTGTATGTAGCTCATGGAAGCCAGGGTGTTTGAAGAGGCATCCCAAGGATGAAGATGGTGAGGTCACGTGTCACAGTGAAAAGAGAGTTCTCTGGAGTCAGAGAACTTGGGGTCTGACATTTACTGCTCTGTGGGACCAGGGGCAGATCACTTAACCTCCTTGGGCTCCATTTTGTTCATCTTTACTATAGGTAGAGGAGGTTGGACCAAGATCATGGCATCTTATTCCAACAGAAGAAGAAGCTGAGTCCCAGAGAGGTTCATTGATTTGCTCATGGTCACACAGGTAGTTTTAGTGTACCAGTTAAAAAAAAAAAAGGAAAAAAGAATAAACTGAAGAGATCTGGGAAGAGGAGATTTTTGTTAATTATAGTTGGGGATTTCCTGGGACACAATGAAAGAAGAAAGTGGAAGAGAGGAATTGTGTAGGGGGAAGATTAAACTGGCTATGGGACAGAAGGTTGTAGGAGAGAGCAGTTTTCCACTGACAGATTCTAGAACCGAGTCCCTGGGGTCAGGGGTACAAAAGGTGGGAGTTTGCCAGAACAGAGGTGCCTCCATTCTTCAAAGTTTTGTCATGTTACCCATTCTGCTCCAAACAAGGAACTGAGAGTTAAGAAACAGAAACTTCCAGCTAGTTGACAGGATCAGTAAATATTTTAATTTGACTCCTACAGAACAGGTATGACTCTGGGACCATGTCTGTTCTGAATACCTTTACTTTAAGAAAAAGGTGTCAGGGCCGATTGCCAGAGCTCAAACTTTTTTTCTCCCCTCCGTGCTTTCTGTTGGGAGATAGGGGACAGAGAATCGATGATGCCCTACTGGAAGATTGAGGCTGGCACCCCAACCTCATATCCCCTGATGCCATTCCCCTGTAGTTCAAGACAGACTTGTGGATTGAAATCAGAAGAACAGTTTGAACCCCACTTCCTCCCTATCCTCCTCCTCCTCATAATCCTCACCCTGCCGAAGCTTCTTGTTCTGGAGTTGGAGTTGTTGGTTCTGCGCGGCCAGTGAGACAGCATCCTGTAAGACTCCAGCCAACAGGACTCGGTGATGGAACTCCCTGGCAGCAGCCTGCTCCTTCCACAGCCTCCGGCAAGCCCGGAACACCTATGCTTTTAAGGGGGTAAGTTGATGATTAGAGGAATTCAGCACCTATTTATTCAGCTGCGGCTGGAGTGACAGCCTGCCAACATAAGACGAAGCATGGGTAAACAGCAGCCAGGCTGAGCTCGGACATTCCTCTGCCACCATTCTCTGTCCACTTCTGACCTGCAGCATGTGGCAGGTCTGGGCCCGGGCTCCTTGCACATGTAGCTCATACAGGGCCTCTAGGTCCCGTTCAGCTGCATCTCGCTCCACTCTTAGTGCCTCCAGCTGCAAGACCAGTGCTGTGTGATCCTGCCACCAGCTTGGGCACTCAGCAGATAGGTCTGGGGCCTGTGAAAGAAAACAGGTATTTGCTAACTTAGAATGAGCCTACTCATCTGCCTTAGTCCTACTCTTGGTCTTTTTTTGATTCACTTTCCCTGAGTATCTGGGACTAACCTGATCTGCTGCTGTTTCCTTGTTCTTTCCCAAGCAGCTCAGCTGCTCTTGGATCTGGGATTGGTGGTGTTCCTGAAGCAGCTGCCTATGGGCTCGTGCTAACATAAACTGCAGTGCCACATCAGAGGCCTATGAGACAGACCAGACACCAACCAGAAGGACTTACCTCCTGGTCTCTTCATCTGGCCAAGTCCCATTTTCCTTTGCCTCAGAGCAGGGATATTTAACTTGGGATCTACTAGATTTTAGATGTCTGTGAACTTGGATGAGGAAAAAAATTACATATTTATTTTCACTAGCTGCTAACTGAAACCTAGCAGTTCCTTCAGTTATGAAGGCAGGCAACAAATCTCAGTAGTATTAGCTTCATCAGATTGCCCAATGGGTCTATGACACAAAGAAGGTTTAATAACTCCTGCCCTACCAATATAGAAATGTTTTGCATAACTTCAGATATATAATGGGTATCATGTTGCTTGTCTTCTCAAACAGGTGAAGGAGGGAATAGAGGGAAGAAGAGGATTTGGAAGTAAAAAAAAAGAATGTGAAAAATAAATTTAAAATTAAATTAGATTCTAAAAAGAATTCCTGCCTTAGAGATAAGGCCTAATTTCCCCACTGGGGTTTACTGGTCTTCCCTAGCACAAGGCTCCCAATTCCAGGTATTGCCCTCACCCCAGATTTAGGGGATTCAGCACTACAGAAAGTGAATTTCTGGACAGTAAAATCAGAGCTACAGTCCAAGAGAGATAGGAGGTGGCTTTGTCAACTATTCCTAAAAGAAGAAGGCATCCTGGTCAAACCACCAGATGTGAAGTCACAGGACCTGAATTTAAATATCTGCTCTACTACTAATTACCTATGTAGTCTCAGGGAAATAACTCAATCTCTATTGTCCTCCATTTCCTCATCTGGAAAATAATGAGATTGGACTAGATGATCTCTGTGGTTCTTTCCAGCTCTAAATCCTATGGTCCAATAAAGCCATAGCCTGTTCCCGATCACCACCCTCACCAAGCTAAAGCTTTGGGACTTCCTGTCTCCTCCTCTATAACTCGACCTGCCCTTTTGTGATCCCTTTCCTACTTTCAGACTTTATGCGGTATTCATTTTAAATCAATTTCTCCCACAGGAAGGGGCATCACACAGTGGCGTCTGCTCCCTCGGGAATCCCCATGTACTCCCTATAGGAATAGGTGAAGCTTTGCCTGTTTCTTGGAGGCCCCAAGAGGGTAGTTTCTTGGTGCTGCTGGCAGGTGTGGCTTCCTCCCCAGGCCCAGAGTTTCTGAAGTTCTTGCTGCCAAAGAGAAATACTTTTATTCTGAATGCAGATTATTGTTGTTCTTTGTCCTTTGTTCTCAAAGAGGACCATGACATCAGGGAGGTGATGCCAAGACATGCAAGTGAGTTAGATTTAAATGAGGGGGGGCTGTGCTGGGTGAAGACAGACAAGTGAGAAACTCCAAAAAGATAGTGTCTGGGCCATCAGGCCTGAAACTCACCTTGGGGGTGCTTCTGGAAAACAGGGAAAAAGGCCTCTTCTAGTTCTGGCACCTAGAGGGGAGATGTGTTGTAAAGCAACAAAGCCTCCTCCTCCCAAGGTCAGAGATATTTTCATTTTAGTGTAAAAGGTGAGTTTTAAGCAACTGTAATTGGTAACATTGAAAAGAAAAGGTTCTTAATGATAACAACATTGTAAAGACAAACTTCTTTGAGAGGTTTAAGAATGCTCATCCACAAATGCTGTGACTGAGCTTAATTCTAGAGGATTCAAGATGAAACAAGCTGCCCACTTCTGACCCAGAGGGGAAAGAGTCAAAGCCCATGTTGTGACACATTTTTTAGACACAGCCAATGTAGGAATTTGTTTTCTTTAACTATGAGTAGTTGTTACTAAGGTTTTTGTCTTTCTTTTTTCAGTGGAGGTAGGGAGCAGGTGGGAAGAGAGAGAAGGTAGATTTTTGTTAATTGAAAAAAATTAAATTTAATTTAGAAAGCAAAGAGTAAGATTGTGAAATCAGATGCTAGACTGCAAGAATGCTCAGAGTATTTATCTTCCTTCCTTTAAGATAAATAGGTGCCAGGATAAACAAGGTACCAAAATAAAGAAGAATCAGGGTTTTTAAGTTTGAGATCTGTTGCTCTACCATTCCTCTAAGTATGTGTAAGGTATATTGCTTGACTAAGAGCAGGGTTAGAAGGTCTATAGAGCACCTCATAGAGCTAGGAAGGAACATAGCAGGGAAATGTCCCTCGAGGAAGATGGAGATCTAGGAAAGCCCTATCAAGCCATATGTACTCCTACTCGTCCTCTTCCCTTCCCCTCAAAGGTTTGAAAATTATAACTGTTCACTGGACCTTTGACCTCTGATTCATGATAACAGAGGACTTTTCATCACTAAAGTACCTGCTGCTTATGGAAAACAGAATTTTCTATTATTAAAAGTATGCAATGGAGATAGACCTCAACTTGCCCTATAATTTACACAGACTTGACTGAAGAGGCTCAGAGACTTTCAGTGTCTTAGGTATCATAGCCCAGCTTGTCACTGTAAGGTAGGATTTGAACCAGATGTTCTAGCCTACAAGTCCAGCACTCCGTCCGCCACTAGACCAAACTGCTTCTGCCTTAAAAATAGTCCATTTATAAAAAACCATAACAAAGTGTTCCTTTTTCCACCCTAAGTGATTGCTTGTCCTCTTGACTGCTTCCAGTCCTATTCCAGCTTTGAAATCAAGTGTACTTGGAAAGGATGTTTTAAGAGGACTTGAGACTCCTAGTCCCAGAGCTGTCTTGGTGATAAAATGCCAATCTCAAGGTCTAGGGAGTTGGCACCCACATACCTGCAGGTTCAGAAGCCTAGGTGCAGAGGCTCCAGCTCCCTTGAGCAGCCTAGTCTCCCAGTACCGGCTTTGGTTTTTCAGTACCTGCAGATAGCAGATTCAGTCAACAGTTTCCAGAGCCCCTGATGCCCTAGATGGAAGGGTGGTTGCCTAGTTCTGTCTCACCTTCAATTCCCTGAGTACCAGACTCAGCTGGGTAAGCTGGCTCTCCTGTAGAACAGTTCCAGAGAGCCCAGAGCGAAGATCCTGAACAGCTGCACGCCGGGCCTGTATTTCTTCTGAAGCATCCCACAGTGTGGGAGAAACCTGTTTCAACTGGGCTGGGTCCCGAGCTCCTGTGGCCCCTGATAGTGAGGCCAGGAGCAGGTTCAAGGGGGTAGCTGCCAGGGAAAACAGGCAGGTAGTGGGGCCAATTCATGGGGAGCAGGATGGGCTTTTGATATAGTCAAAGAACAATCCTGTCCACTCCTCCTAACCTCTTCTACCAAGAATCACACTGGGCTACCTCTTCCCACTGCACTGGAACTGGGTATGCAAAACCCACTCATCACTAAGAAGCATGGATGAGGAGCCAATGGAGAAGAGGGAAAGCCAGGATTGGGGAGCCTTAAGGAGCAGAATTTTCTGGGGACCTTCCCCAGAAAAGATTAAATCTCACGTCACTTCTTTTCTCTTCCCTCCCTTCCTACCTTCATACCTTGGGGATCCAAGTGGAGCAGCAGGCTACTGTAACTATTCCCGAAGAGTAACCGAGTCACAATCCAAGGCAAAGAGCCCATTTGGGCCTTAGAAGCCTTCCCTGCCAGTGCCAGCAATAAAGGACAGTCCCTACAAAGAGTGAGGGTTAAGGCCAGGCACAATGCAGGCCCTTCTTATGAGTTAGGGAAACTAACTGCCCCATATTATATGGAGCCCTCAGACTGCTGCCCCCACCCCAAGTTGGACTCACCTAGCTTCTGGAAGCTGTAGGACTCTCAACGAGCCCCGCCACATGCCTCTGGCCCAGGGCCTCTTTATGGTGCTGGGCCCCAGGCAGGATATAGTCACAGTGAGAAGGGAAGAGGTACTGGGGAAGGAGAAAATGATTAAGCACAGGGCTTCTTAGGTTGCCTTCTAAGTTTGTATCTCCTTTCCTCATCCCTTCTGCCAGCATCCGCAGCTCACATACCTGTCCAAGCCTTCCATTGCCTTGAGGTAGAGTTGGCAGCTAGACTTGGAGTCAAGGACCTCTGCTTCACTAACTCCTTCCACTACCCTGGGAAAAAAGGGAAAAACCTAGGCTTATAGGACCTCTGGACTATGTCCCTTTGCCACAGGACCTTCAAAGCCTTGAATCCCAGGCATAAGAACAAAAAGAGCAGATAACCCCTAAGTCATATAGACATACATGCCCTGAACAGGACAGCTGTACAGAAGACAGGATCTCTGGGAGAACAAAGAACAGGGGGTAAGATCGTGCTTTTTCTGCTCCATCTCTTTCCCCAAAAATTACAATGTGTTGAACTCTGGCTTTTGTGGGAATGGTGCTAAGAGGTGGGGAGTGAGCAAGGGAGAGTGGTGCCCGTCCTGGGCAAGGTAGCATACTCACAGACCCAGTGGGTACACATCCAGCAAGCTCAGGTCGCTAGTTCCAGGTAATAGTAAGTCTCGACCCCTACCGCTAGAATTGAGCTAAAAGCAAGGGAGTGCATGGGATGAGTGTGTGCGGAACCTGTAAAAGCCTTCCGAATCCTTGAGAGTACTCTCCAGGGCTGCCCGGTCCTTGCAAATCTCTCTCAAGATTTTGTCACCTGCACTAGACTCAGGGTCCTGAGGGAAGGTTCAGAAGCACCTGGGGGTTGAATCTCCTCAAACAGCATTGCCAGCAGCTGTGAATTATTAGAGAGGATAGGGGTGGAGTGGCCACAAGAGAAAAGAGAGTCCCTTTGGTCTGAAGTCCAACCAAGTCTGGACCGTGTGGTAAGGCAAAGTGGATTCTAGCTCCTCACCTGGGGAACCTGATCCAGTTGCTGGGCTTCTCTGCCCCTGATCAGCACAGACACACTGTACCCTCTGGAGACTGAGCCCAGCACAGCCCGAATATTCTCCAAAAACTCCTGCTTTGCTTCCTATCAATAGACGAGAGCTCACCTCTCTGGGGAAATCGTCTCCCTCTTCCACTGGGTCCCTAGACTTTTCAGTCTGGGGCACCCTAGTCCTCCCCACCCCCAAATAGCATGCTCCAACTTGGGAAGGCACAGAATGGGTTGTCTGAAGGGCAAGGGAGCATATGATGTTACAGAGGGGAGAAACAGAATGAGGCTAGTAGGGACAAGGCCTTGCCAACCACGCCCCACCTACTCCCTTGTTCTACCTGTGCATGTTCTGGGCCTAGGACTCTGTCAAACGTGAATCGGTGCTCCTAGGTGCAGGACCAGGGTCACTAAGATGAATTACCACTTATATCCTCTTTTTCCTCCATCCTCCCCATGCCTGGTCCCACCTTTCCCAACCCCAACAGTACCTCAGGGTCTCCTGGATCTAGCAGGAGCATTTGAGAGCCATCTAAAAGGAATCTGGGGCTGCAGGTGTCGTGACCTACAGTAGAGTGGTGGGTCACTGTGAGACTCTGCTTTAGTTTTCTCCTGTTAAGAACAGGAGAAACTGGCCCCAGCCTACTACCTTCAGGGTTCCTTCCTGGCCTGACCTCTTAGAAAGAATTTCTCACCTGCCTCCGGCAAGGATGCTACTTCCACAACCACTGTCACTGTTGCAGACCCAACCTGAAGGGAGAGAAAATAGTGGGGCCTAGGCCCTGAGCTAAGCCACTAGGGAAGTCTGGAGGACAAGTTCCTGCTCACCTGCTTGCTGCTGCTTGTCATGGTTCTGGAGCCTCCAGGGTTCTCCTCAATAATTCATGTCCTATCTGGTGGTTTCTGGGTGGGGTCTGCTGTCCCCCAATCCGTGTCTACCAGGCTATTTTCCACCTGTGTTTGTCTCCTAGAGTTCTGCTTCTGTTCCACCCACAAGCCTTCAAGTTCCCAATACAGCCAATTGATTCCACACACACCAGTCTCTTCTACGGAGGTGAGGTCAGAATTTCTAGACCCTCACTGGAATATGACCATCTTAGTGAAGATGAAGAAAGGAAAGGCAGAGAGGTATAGAGGTTCTTAACCTTTTTCATTGACCCCTTAGTGTTTTGAATTGCATAAAATTAAATGTGTAAGATTACAAAGGAAACAAATTATATTGAAATTCAGTTTTGTTTTGTTTTTTTAAATTTTAAGTTCAGGGACTTCAGGGTAAGAATCTCTGGACTTGGTGAACTCTAAATTTCCTTTCCATATAAGTTTATGATTCCAGAAAGGCAACTCCCAGTTGGGTGGAGGCGTAGAGACCAGTGCATTGTCTGGGGCTCTTCTGCTTTATGAGGAACAGTCCCAGTTGTGACAGATTTTACTCTTCCTCCCCATGCCCGCCACCCTTCCTCTTCCTCCCTCCAACTCCATTGTCACTGAACTAGTCTTCAGAGCGTCTGGGGAAGAAAGAAATAAGACATACAGACATTTTGTTTCTCAGTTATTAGGTTTTTTGTTTTTTTAATGAAAACTAGTGGAGATTGACACTCTGGCAGGTTACCCCTGCAGTCCCTGGAATCACAAGGCAGCCAGGTGGGACCTGAACATGTTTTCCTCTCCTCTCCAGTTGCTCTCCACCCTCCTTCAGGGGAATACTCTGACCCCTCGCAGCATCGCCAAGGCTGCAGTCCCTGAGACCTGGAGGGCTAGCGGTGTGCCTACAGACCTGGTCCCACGGGATGGAACTTCACAGTCCTTTGGCACCGGTTCCCCTTGTAATCTAGCTAAGGTGACGCTGTCAGCAAATGGGTTCCCTCTGAGGATCAGGTCATTCACCTGGGGCAGCATCGGCTGCTTCATCAGCAGGTTATAGCTTAGGTCCAACTGCTGCAGCTTCTCAGGCAGAGACTTGGGCACACACTTCAGCTTGGAGTGGGACAGGTTGAGGGATATCAGGGTGGGAGGCCAGGTACACTGAGTCTGGGGTGTATCCCTCAGTTCATTGTAACTGATGTCCAGGTGCTGCACATTTGTTCCTGTCACCTCCAGACCCTGGCACACTTCCCCCAGTGACTCAAGGCTGGTGTTCCGAAGTGCCAGATCACGCAGTGCCTGGAACTCCTTAAGGCAGAAGGCCCCAGTTAAGCCACTCTCTCCTATCTCTGGATTGTCTGACAGATCTAGAGAATTCAGTTCCTTGAAGGTGCCCAAGTCTGGGCAAGGCACACTGCTCAGGCCCAAACCAGTCAAATTCAGTGCCTTCAGGCTAGGTTTTAGCCAAGGCCCTAGCGCAGCCAGTAAGTTGCTCTCTCCGACCAACGATACTCTGTTGAGTTTCAGGGCTGTCAGACCCACATTGCTGTCACTGGGCGATGGAGGTTGCAGGGGCGGGTGTGAAATCACCAGGTCTTCCAGAGTCAGCTCCTTAATCCGAGTGTAGGTCAGTGCCCGCAGGAGATGATTCAGAAGTGGAGCCGGGACCTGGGCTTCTCTTAGCTTCAGCCGTCTGAGGCGCAATACTCTCAGCACATCCTCTGCTTTGCCCGGGTTGGCAACTCCTCCTTTCTGCAAAAACACATCTAAGTTGTGGCTGCCCCCAAGGATCTCCACCTCTACAGCAGAAATGCACATTGCAATGTCATTCCATTGAGGCTCCGGGGCAGAAAAGTTGCAGAAGCAATTATCGCCCTCTTCGTCCAGGATACAGACGGTTGAGGATGATGACCAGGGAAGCAACAGCAGTGGATAGAGCAGCAGCAGCGGCGGCAACCTCTGCCAGGGCTCCTGAGGATGACATCAGCAGTTTATCTTAAGGCTTGTCCCACTGCTGGGGAAATGGGAGCCGGAGGAGTGCTAATGGCTGGAGTACTAGGTCCTAGTTTGACTTCAGAACCCAGCCCAACCTGACTTTGCCTTACTCTTTCCTCAAATACTATCCTTCCCCAGTCTTTTCTTACTGTCCCTCGATGCCTTTCTCTTCCCCCCCCCCCCGCCCCAGGTCTCCTGCTCTACCCAAGGAGTCAGCCTCAGACCGGCACTGAGAAGCATAGGGTTTGTATCTGGGAGAGGCTGTAGACGGTTGCAGATAGAGCGCTAGGCCTGGAGTCAGGAGGACCCGAGTTTAAATCCAGCCTCAGACACTTACTAGCTGTGTAGTCATTTAACTGTTTGCCTCAGTTCCTCATCAGTAAAATGGGCTGGGGAAGGACATTGCAAACTATTCCAGGATCTCTGCCAAGAAGATCTCAAATGGGGTCACAGAGAGTCGGACACGGCTGAAAAATGACTCAAGAACAACAAAAGTGGAGGGTAAGGGGAGACATAGGACACTCACCATAGCTGGTCTGGGTAGCCTCTGTACCTCTTACTCCTTTAATGCTTAGAGCTGGACTGTCTGGCTTCTGGGATCTGAGTCCTGGGTTCTGAATGACCTTAGGCTTTTGTACTGTGCTATTAAACCCAAATCCTGTTTCTCCACCCCAACTTCCCCTCCGTTTAGTTTTGCAATCAAAGTTGTCAGTACCAAGAAAGGCGGGTACTGGGCCGCTGGTGGCACCAGGAAAACAAACACTGGGCTTTTCTGCATCAGCCTGACAGTCCTCCAACTCTTTATTGTCCTCCCATCCCTAAACCCTACAATCTTACCTTGAACCATCTGTTTCTAGTCTGGCTGGAGATGGAACCAGTGAATCACCACAGTCCACAAAAAAAAAGGATAAACTATATAAAACAAATTCAGTTTCTGGTAACCTCCCTTCACTTACTCAATTTCTGAAACCCTGCTGGATTTCTGGGAAGTGACAGAACAGTACAGGAACCAAAGACAGAGAAAGCTCACCTGTACTGGGGTAGACTTGATAGGTGAGCCTCAAAGCTTTTGGTTTTGTTTCCAGATCTGTAAAATTTTAAACTTCATTTCCTTTCACTCAGTCTCTCTGTAGTCTGCTCTCCTTTGTTTAGGGAAGGGTGGAGGATGGGAATCTTTAGGATGACACAACTCAACACCCTTGCTGCAACAGTAAGGGAAATGACCAATTGGACTTGCAGAGGCAGAGCTGTTTTTCCTCTTTCAAATTCAAGAGGACTAACGACTTCCTGGGGTGATGCCTTCACTTGCAGGTGAATTGGATTTAAGTCAGACAGCTGTACAAACTCATAAGCCCCTAACTTGCAGATGAGAAGTGAGGTTTGGGGAATGGGGAAGTGTGATTATAATAAGTTAACAAAGTCTCCCCACTTTTCCTGGCCTCCATCAAATCTGTGCATCCCTGCCCTGAACTCAAACTCAAAATCTGTCTGCTAACTGGGAGTGTTGGAACAGGCATGATGTGCAGCAAAGGCCTCTACTCCCACAGATAGGTCGTAGTTAAAAACTATTGTAGAGATCATCTGGTCCAAGGCCCTCACTTTACAGATGAGGAAACTGAGGTAAGTGACTTGCCCAAGATCACACAGGTAGAAACTACGAGAGAGGTAATTTGTTTTTTTTTAATATAAATTTATTAATTTTTAGTTTTCAACATTCACTCCCACAAGTTTTTGAGTTCCAAATTTTCACCCCATCTCCCCCACTCCCCCCACCCCAAGATGTCATGCGTTCTGAATATCCCTTCCCCTACTCTGTCCTCTCTTCTATCTCTCTCCCCTTCTCTTATCCCCTTCCCCTTCTATTTTCCTGTAGGGCAGGACAGACTTCTGTACCCCATTTCCTATATTTATTTCCCAGTAGCATGTGAAAACATTTTTTTAAAAACATATCTTTTTAAAACTTTAGGTTTCAAATTTTCTCTCTTCCTCCCTCCCCACCCACCCTCATTGAAAAGGCAAGCAACTCAATATAGGTTGTACATGTGCAGTTATGCAAAACATGTCCATAGTAGACATGTTGTGAAAAACTAACTCTATTTCCCTTAATCCTATCCTGCCCTCCCATTTATTCTATTCTTTCTTTTGACCCTGTCTCTCCTCAGAAGTATTTACTTCTGATTAACCCCTTTCCCAATCTGCTCTCCTCTCTATCATCCCCCTGCTCTCTTGCCCCCTTTCCCCCCTGTTTTCCTGTAGGGTAAGACAGATTTCCATACCCAATTGAATGTGTATGTTATTCCCTCCTTAAGCCAAATCCTATGAGAATAAGATTCACTCATTCCCTCTCACCTTCCCCTGTTTCCCCTTCCACTGTAAGAGACTTTTCTGGTTTTTTTTTGTGAGATAATTTACCCCATTCTACCTCTCCCTTTCTTCTTCTCCGAGTATAATCCTCTCTCATCCCTTAATTTTATTCTCCAGATATGACCCCTTAATCTTCAGCTCACCCTGTGCCCTCTATCTATCTATCTATCTACATATACGTACATATAATTTTTTCCTCCAACTACCCTGATACTGACAAAGGTCTCATGAGTTATAAATATCATCTTTCTATGCAGGAATGTAAACAGTTCAATCTTAATAAGTCTCTTATGATTGCAAGAGAGGTAATTTGAACCCAGGTTTTGCAGCTCTAGACACACTACTAGTCTTTTCACTATTCCAAACTGCCTATCATTTGATCACCAGGATAGTCTCAGTTAAGTAAGCAGTCTCCTTGCCTTTCTTAGAGATGAGATAGGTTTTGCCAGTGATCTTTTCGCTTCCCAGAGCTACTTCTCAATAGTCCTGTTTTCACTCTATTAGAATATATATTAATATATAAAATATGCTAATATATACATAATATATATGTTATATATAATATATAATTTTATATATATATTATATATATATATATATAGAACTAGTAGTTCCTCAGTAATAAACAGGGTTTTTACCCTTTCTCCAGAAGTCTTTATCTGGAAGATTCAGAATCAACAGGTAAGTGACACCTGGAGTGCTGGACTTGGAGTCAGCAAGACCTAAGTTCAGATCCAGTCTCAGACACCTGTATGACCCTGGGCAAGTCATTTAAATCTTGCTTAGCCTCAGTTTCCTCATCTGTAAAATGGGGAAAATAATAGTGTCTACCTCCCGGGGTGTTGCTAAGATACAGTGAAATAACATTTATAAAATGGTTTGCAAACCTTAAAGCTAGCTATATACATACTAGTTATTATATAACAAAAATATTGATAATAACATCAATAATAATGCATTTTCAGAAGAAAACTATGAGACGGATGGATTTCTTTGGGATTTGTGACACATCACGTCATTCATTTCCCATTCAGTACAGGGGCCCCTGGGTGCCAATTTCTATACAAGAAATCTATTCACTTTTTTGGTTAAGTGAAAGAATTGCTGTTCACACTTGTTTATCCCAAATACTGTGGTGGGAGAGGGCTGGAGGGAGAAAAGGCTTCGTGGGGGCGTAGACACGGTCCCCGGGTCGGGAGGAATGTCGGGGGAGGGTGGAGGGGGCTGCGG